CTTTGTATGCTTGAGCTTCTATATATCATACGAAAGAATTTTTTCTATTCTTTATGGACTTATTTATAGTTCTACACAACAATGAATTCTTAATTTAAAGTCTTATTCACATTTTTTAATTCTCTCATCCCTTGACTTTAGTTATGCATTGCATGATCGATTTTCTTTAATATAAATACCAAATTACGATCTCTTAGGCAGATTCACGTTAGCATATAATTTCACTTATGTAATGTACACAAATGCTTCCAAGAATAATCCAACACAAGAAAGTAAAATAAAGTAAAGAAAATTCGAGTTAAAAAAAACAACAATTGCGTTAACGTCCACGAGGTCATACATATGCAGAAGCAATTGATTTAGCTAAAGCCATAAGATATTTGAATTGAAGTGAATCAGTGTATAATGAGAAAAAAAACTGATACTGATGCCTTCGTTCATTCATTAAATTCGAAGTTGAACCGCGTTCTCGATCTTTTTCAAAAATATCTGCGCATCGTTTACAAGCTGACGTTAAACTCTTACGTTTTGCGACGATCTGCAGAAGAAATATTACGATTGTGATGGGGAAGCACTACTTAACAGTAGTAGTATAGCCTGATAAGTTTGTGAGCGCCATTCCCACAATTGTGTCAGATCGAACGAAATAAGTTTTTTATGTAAAGTTTTTTTAATGGGTAGCAAATTAACTGTTGACTGGTTAACTGGACTGGACGGGGATGAAAACTAAATTTTTTCTTTCAGTCCAAGTTTCGACATGTTAAAAATCTCATGTCTTAGGTATCAATCGAATATTTATTTCAAAATTTCCATTTGCTCTAAACATGAATAGCGACAACGCTTAAGTAGAACAATCAACAGAGAGGCCGAGGTTAACCTAATAAGCTCATCACATTCTCGAAAGTTTTATCGGACGTTTAATACTTTTCGAAACCTTTCACGATTTATCGCGAATAGCGGACGGAGGGTAAGTCAATTTTCACGAAACTTAATACGCTATTTGAATCCTCGATGTACGATTTATGGTTTCAGTTTCAAAGTTAGCTAAGAGCAGATCGTTAGTATTTTGGTTAATTGTGTTAGGTTTACAAATAAATTCTTTCCGCTGTAACTCATTGCTTCAAGTTCCTCGACATTTCAGTTAAAGATAATTTACATATTGATGTGTGAACAAGGTAAGTTAAAAAAGAGATGGATGCCATATATGGAACTGCATTTTTCTGTTGTTTTAACGGCATTAATTTGGGAAAATGCTTAATTTGGCTTAGAATGAAAATTTACAAAACGGTTAGAAAGTAGTTTTTTTTGTCTTGTAAAAGCAATCCATGATATGATTTTCACCTTAGGCTGAGAAACCACACATTACTACATACCCTCCTGCGATATTCTCCAGACGCCAGATTGACCTATTATTTAAGAGATAAATGCAGGCATCATCTTCTTGTTCAGCTTTTATGGTCAAAATTGCTAAGTTTGTCCTGTGAAGTAACTACTACAACAGTAGTTAAGTCCTATTGGCATAGTTCTAATGGCAGAGATTGTCAGAGGCTTGTGGTTCAGGTAGAGAGTGTTATTTACAATGAACACATATTTTTTTAATAATTTCACTCAAATACATTTCTCAAAGTACCTTTCAACTTACAGATTAAGAACGGCTGTTTAAAGAAAAAGTTTTTTTTTTTTTTTTTTTTGAGAAAAGAAAAACTCTTTTATGATACCGAGCACACACATCACTGAGGGCAGAAGAGACCGTAAACCGTAGGCAATAGGCTTTTAGTGATCATTCAGTTGTAACGCGTAATGATGGCGCACGGAATTGTAATTTCGTGTATGAATCAAGATATTTACGTTTTGCTTTCTTTCTTTATCGTTTCTGACCTTGGCTATATTGCTTGCATGATGAAATGATTTCTTTGATGTTAATGTATGTATCTGGACATGATGAACACATCCATGTATATGCATTAAAAATCCAAAAAAAAAACAAATAAACAACAGAGGAATGTTTTATATTATTTTTAACAAAAAAAAAGAAAAAAAAAAATTAAAAAAAATACCAAACAGGTTATGTTAAATATTTACACATAAACCGGGTATTTATTAAGCAAAAGATACGCTATCAACCGCGGGCAAATTATATATATGCAATTCGTTCGAAAGCACTTAAAACAATTTATTAAAAAAAAAAATTAAATTGAAAATCATCCGTTAATTGTTGTAACGTTGATAAAATTCTTTACGAAATTTTAATAATTTCTGTAAGTATGTAAAAGATTTTATGCTAACGTGTTTGGCTAATTAACTGCTATCTTAACTAACACTGGAATTAGCAGCAAATGACTGCAATTGCGCTACAAAAAAGTATGAAAACAAAAGTGACATGAAATACTTACGATTTAAGTGGAATTTTCGTTACTCTTCATTTCAACTTTCACAGAGGCGTATAAATGAACCCTGAACATCTTTTTTTTCCTTTTAAATATTTTTCCGGAAGCCAATCGAGTAAACTCGTTACTATTAGGGGTGAAAGAAGAGTCTCTTTTGTTACGTAATACTTATTGAATGCATTTGCAAAGGGAATGATGGACTTATATTACCGATTAAATTGTCGTTTGGATAGGAAATAACAAAACAGTGAAATAAAAGCTAACTGACCTATGGCAATTGCATGACCTCAAAAGACATGAAGCGTTGTTGATATCCATCCGCTGTTACGCAACACTTTTGAATATCTCTAGTTTTAAAAAAAAAAAAATTTTTTTTTTTTTTTCTACTCATAAGAAATGTAACGAGATAACTGCCTGCCAAAGCATACACAAACACAAACACACACACACACACACACACACATTCCCTGCACATATGTTTATCGAAATAAATTTATACGATTTTTATTATTCTTGATTGATGCTAGACATCAATTAAATAATTGCAAGACAAATTAGTAATTAATTGTTTCTCATCTTTTGCAAATGTGTTTGGCAGCAAATGTCATGTCGACAGGACAACTTGTGCAATTTCATTATAAACTTTATGAGCTTTTGTTAAATGTTTGCCTTGTTGTTCTCTTAAAAATTTTATCGTGAAATAATAAAAAAAAAAATATAATAATAAATTACTTTCTATCTAGGGCTAAGGATGAAATTCTGATAAACTTATCTCTTTTAACTTTCAACGACCATTGCGTGATGAACATAGTTTTCTGATGATAACGATAAATGCAATAATAATGCATTGATTAACATTTGCAAGCATTTTTACAAAACATTTCTTAATTGGAATGTTGGAGCAGAGCCTCTCATTCGAAAAGAGTAAATATTTACCTTGACAATTAAAATAGGACTAAAGAGAATCTTTTTTTTTTTTTTTTTTTTTTTTTGATTAGACATTTCGAAGCGCATTAGCATTATTCTAAATACCAACTTTATTATACAGTTGTTCGACCACAATAAAAAAAAAAAAATTGCGCTATACTAAGCTTTTCGTTCTATTCGATTTTATATGAAATTTGCTCTATCTTCTATGTAAGTATGTAAGTATGTAATGTCTTGACCAATGTTAAGAGATAGCGTTTAGGAGATAGCTTTGGCAATTACATTATAGTTTATATTCTTTAGATGACTTTAATGAATTAATGAATATTGAAAATATGATACACACTCGTTACCCAATGGACGTGGTTAAGAAAATTTCATCACACACACACACACATCAAGTTGTAGAAAATTATAAACAAAAACAAAAATTTGAAAATTTGTTAAAAAAAAAAGTCTTCAACAACAAAGTCTTCTATACATGGAGATAATTCAAAAAAAAAATACTTTCGCAGGATTAATGCGAAGGGTACCCTAGTACCGCTATCGTAAAGCGAATGTAATTTTATTAGTTGCTTTTAACGACATCGACATCATCATTTATGCTACACAGCAGCGGTATTGATTTTAACTTTTTGACATTTAATTTAATTAAAATTCTTTCTCGAAGCAAATTTCCATACTAGGAAATTTACAATTCACATTTATAGCAAAAGCAAGCAAGCAAGCAAGCAAGCAAGCAAGCGAACCAAGCAACCAAACAATCGTAAACCAAATAAATACCTGTTGCAGTAAGTAATTCCCAATAATGTCTAAAGTTTAATAAACTTAACGCACTTAGTATTTAATGTTTAAGAATAAACTCACGAAATACGCGTTAACAGTTTATTAGAATAATTTCTCAATTTTCAGTCAATTTTTATTATAAAAAAAAAATAAAAAAAAGAAACTAAAGATGTTTTTGCTCTTCTTTACAACAAAGCAAAGAAAAATCAAAATTGAAATATAAAAAAAAAAAAGTTTATATTCACTGTTAGGAGGAGAGAATTTTGAATGCCTAACACTTGGATTCACTTACACTCTATCCAAAGGTAATTTATTATGAAGACCTAAAGCCCAAGAACCGAATACGGAAAGACTGCGATAAAAACTCGTTTTATGCGTTCTTGTGAAAGTTAAAGAACAAATAGTCGTGAATACGAATTAAAAGAATTGAAAGAATAAAATCATTACCTAAATCTTTTTGTCATTTAAAAAAATTTTACATTTTAAAGTTTAATTATAATTGAAAATATTTTCTTTAAAAAGTGTACACGATTGCGACCTTTTACTTGATTTTTCTTTTAAAGAGAGCCGTCGATAAAAATTCAACTATATTTCTCGTATATGCATAAGAGAGAAAGAGACAGATAAAGAGAGGGAGAGACAGAGAGAGATTGTAAGCTAAATTGAATTGTAATCGTTAGGTGATTTAAAAATTACTAATGAACGGTTGATGAAACCTAAAAAAGTTTTTAGAAAGAAGAAAAAGCCAAATAACTCGTAACTCGTACCTTGTACTACACTCCCATCTTCTATATAGATTGCAATGGATACGATATATATAAAACAGTAAAAAGTGGCGAAGAAAACGACGTAACACACAATTTGTAAATTAATTGCTCGAGCAATTTGCTTGACGTCTTCTTTTTTTTGAATGCTTACACACATACATACACACATACAGCTCTGGCCTAATTGGCTTTCGGTATTTATTGTAATTTATTTGTTGGTTGGAATATGTCTGTATAATAAGTACGTGATGTGATTTTTTGGGTCTATTTTATTAAAAGAAAAAAAAAAAAAAAAATACAATTTTTCTTCTTCATTTTTTTCTCTGGCTCATCGTATTCTTGTGCAATTGAATTCGAATGTTAAAGTTAAACTTAAAACATAACATTATCGATTTGCTAGAATGCTTTAGTTTTAAAAATTTTTTTTTTTTTTTTTTTGAAAGAAAGAAAATATTTGATGTATTTATTGCGATAAACTGAAACAAGTCATTTCTTTGTAAATCCATGCACACATATTATTATTATTACGACGTTTCGATAAACTTAAACACCTTTCAATATTCGCCTGCTCAGGCGGTACTCCCAATAATCGTTGCATGCCTTCTATATTCCATTTTCTTAAACGATGATCATATAATTGCATCTTGTAGACGTAACATCGTGTGTAGCATGGTATCGGTTCTTGTACGGGAAAACGAATATAGTCGCCTAGATATTGCCATTCATCGCTATTAAATTTATGAAGGCATTCTTTCATAGCCTGTTTCGCTTCCATGCTAATGTCTTCAATATTATCAATTAAGATGAAAGGATCATCTTCATGCTGCAATTGTTGAATGCATATAAGCGATTAAGGATCTTGTAGCCGATTTTATGAGAATCTTAAATACCCACCGCCTAAACTGTCTTGAGCCTTTGCAGGTTAAACTAAATGACTGATTGCAAGTAATATTATGAAATTAGATATACGCTATTTTTTCGGTGACCTGGCAACATCATAATATTGTCGCTAAAGCTATTCTATATTTTCTGGTCAAAAATTCTGACAGAAAATAGTTTCGATAGACTACGTCTGAAACTAGCTTAGTTGAGTCAAAAAGGAAAAAAAAATCATTGTTATATTCTGAACGAATACATGAACACATATCCACATATATAAGTTACAATTTCCCATCGAAATTCTCCCAAATTCTGGAGTCAAGTTTATTCAAATGTTTCTGTGACAACTTAACGCTTAAGCAGTTCCGATCATTTCTCTTATATTTCCTTTATGATTGCTTCAGCAGTCGACAGTGCATTTCCAAATCGTTACGCTTTCGCACGGTCTTCTTCCAGTCCAGCTAACCATAGTCTTAAACTTTAACACGCACATTCCCGAGCTTATCCAAGAGAGTTGACTTCCGGAGTTTAGTCAAAGGTTACATGCTTTTCATCGCTTGTTACGAATTTCTTCAGAAATGTCTTAAGTACGTTGTACTACACTAGAAAGTAAATGTGCTGGATGGACCAAAGCTCGACGAAATTCCTGGCTGCCTTCTGATAAAGACAGTGGCCAAAGGTAATGATCGAGGGCGGAAGGCGAATTTCCTTAAGAAGACTACAAATTGTATTTGTTTGAATTTTTGTCCTTCAGTGTGATAGTGTTCGCCATATACATTGGCTTTTAAAAGTTCAATTAAGAGATTTTTCACATTTTCTACGCATGGACATCTACGTCATCTTTCTAATTTATAGGAAGCATTGGCAGGGAACTTCGTCCTTTAGGACCGGGCGAGCGTTAATTTTTTTCAGAGCAGTGGAAAAAGGGAATAAGGTGTGACCGGCTCCCTGGGAGTTGTATGTCCAATCGGAAAGTGTTATGCCTTTACCGATTGAGCGTTCAGTATAGCTGCAATCATACGCCACTTGCAATTGAAGTATGATCTACCACACCAGGACGCGGGAACATGTCGTCTTGATAGTCACGGTTCTTAACTATTTAGAAAAGAGTCAACAAAATATTCGGGAGATAAAAGCCTAGGCCTTAATAGGCTTTACATTGTTTACTCGTCGTTAATATGCAGAGATAGCGAAAATTTGGAGAGGAATATGATCAGGATCCTGCGGGTTGGTTGAAACAAATTGACCGTAATGTACCTGCGGCAAGTTTGGGAAATTTAGCATTGAACCAATTGACCGATGCGTGAGGGAAGAAATTACACGTGGATCGACAAATCTTTACAACAAGACAACGTCGTTTTGCTCTAATTATGGCTATGAATTTTCTACTTTAGCTTGTGGTGTGAGATCCAATACGGATAACAGTATGGTATTCCAGTCTTTCGGCGGTGGGTATAATATATAATGAGAAGATGCTATTCATACTTACACTTATAAGACAATGAAAACCGTTATAAGCTATTTCGCAGGAGTTATTGCCCTGTATCAGCTTTTCTTTACACGCCTTATAAATGGAACGACCGAATCGTTTTATAACATTTTCGTCATTAAAGCCTTGCGTTTCATTATAAATATTCAACATATTATTTAAGTAGCAGTTCGTGAAACATGGAAACTCTTCGTAAGTATCCGACCACTGTTTAAATCTTTGCAAACGTTGATCATTTTCCAATGTATAGCCACCGTATGGCGCTAAGCACTGATGCAGCACAATACCCTCTTGAACACCACCACTTGGCGAGGCGTCGATTAAAAACTATAATTAGCGTGATTTTAAGTGATTTTTAGGAGATGTCTTTCTTAAACTACCCACCAAGAAATCTAAACTAAACACAACAACTGTAATTAATTTCATGTTGACACTAAGCGATTTTGTAAGAAGAACGAATGCTGTTGTCTTTAACAAATTCTAATCTAAACTAATGCTAATGTCGATTTCTTTGCTATCATCACACGAGATGAAATTAATGTTTTTCCTCAGGCGTCACATAATTATGTTTAGAATAATATAATGGTATAAGCATCATATATATGTATGCATATATATATATATAAAAGTATATATAAAATAATTTCTATAATTTTCAATTGCACTTGCCTTTCATCATATCATCCCAAAAAAATTCTACTTCTAATCTACTTTCAAGTTTGTAATTACTCTTAATACAGAGAAGCTAAACATAAGCTGCTTTGCTCTTAATCTTCACTTGTATTTAATTCGTTTTTTTTCGTGATGGGATTGGACAAAAAATAATTTCGTCAAAAAAAATTATTTCTCGTTCTTGTTCCTGTGTATGTTTGTGCGCTTAAAGGACTTCACTTGATTGGAAGACATTTTACACTTCCAAGCGTTTTCCAGTATTTGCAACCAGTGGCTCTTAGCACAAGTTGGAAAATATTCAAGAAATTGTCAAACATGCGTAAGACTTTGAGATTTTCCCTAGCGCTTGCTAATATCAGCACATTTTTTCTTCCTTATTCCATGCGGTTTCATGCCCAACGTGTCGCGAGTAAATTAATTATTTGTTTCCTCGCAAGCTGTTAAAAATTCTGGTGGATAAAAGTTAATAACATCGAATCTATTCCGGCACTTTAACCTTTTGAAGCAAGTCGTTTTCCTTCATCTCAAACGTTTCAAATTATGTGGTTAACGACTCAGTTTCCCATAAGGGATTGCTAATTATTCATGAGAGAAGAAAATAGCAATTCGAAGGTACTTGAAAGAGAAGCGATCCTATTTCGGGAATCGTAGAAATCTTCAAATTTTTCATTTTCAACTATTGCAACATCAATCCGCTTGAAGCCGTCTCATCGTTTGACGGCCTCCCTCCCTTTTAATTTCAACTTGTTTCCATCCAATTCATAGAAATGTCGAAATATTTTCAACTTTTGCCATCCCATCCCCTCCCTTTTTCATTTCAGTTTGTTCTACCAATTTTATACATTTCTGAGAGAAAAGATACCACAACGAAATCTTTTAAATCGTTTGTAATCCCTTAACTTTAAATATCTGTTATTTAGTTAAACAACTTTCATCGAATGTTGTTTGTGTATTTGAAAACATTCACAATCAGTTCGCAATCCTTCAAGTTGTTTATGTTAATCATCCTTAATTCCGATTGATCGACTAAAGCGATACATAACAATGATTTTCAATCAATCCAGAAGGAAATTTTCATTGAGCTTGAGGCATATGAGCTTTCTTGTGTTATCGGCACCACAAACTTAAAACACCTTTTCGTAACCTATATACCCTTTTGAATATATAACATGTACCGAAAATGTCCACTTTTGTATTCCTTAATAAAATTAATTCTCATCAGCGCTAAAAACTTTGCTCTCAATTGTCTTTGGGTCAACATTATGAAGACAAAAAATCGCAAAATCGACAAAAGTTAATGAAAGCAGCTAGAATGCCTTCTATGTATGAACAGCGGGAATTCTTTCTTGCTAACACAACATTATGCATAAAATTTTTTTTTTTTTTTTTTTTTTTATTTTGTTTTAAGTCTATCGATAACCCAGATTTTTTATGCCACGCTTTGATGATTCAAAATATTCTAATTTTGTCAGTGCGTTTGTAACAGCATAGCAGAGAGCATATCAGTACTCGGTTGGTGTGCAGAAATTTTAATTAAAATGAAGCTGTCAGTCGCCGAATATGCCGAATACATTCTCTAAACCCCGTTTTTCAGTTCAGTTGTGTTGATTAAGCTCGGCAGTAAACATACTTTGTTTGCTCAAAGGAAGATGAAATAAAAAATGCATATAATAAGCGACAAACCCATCTCTTTTTATACCCTACACCACTTGTAGTATAGAGTATGTTAAATTTGTGCGGACGTATGTAACACGCAGGAGACCGTAACATAGGCCCACATTTTATTATACTGATCGGTTCAGAATTATTATTCGAATTGATCTAAGCCTGTCAGTCCGTCTGACCGCATGATGTGTGTCTATGGAAGTTTGTGTTCAAGCTTTAGTCGCAATTTTTAAGGTATTTCGATAAAATTTGCTACATTGACGCGTTTTGAAAACGGTTTGGATTGGTCCACTTTTTCGACCAATCCCCATTAAAAAGTACCCTATTTAAAAAAGTCGAGATTTAATTTCTAGTGTCAAAATTGGTTAAGTAACAGTATTTTAGCATTCTAAATTGGTGTGAAAAGTTTGGACCGACCGGGCAGTTTTTTGAACCGTGTCTCATATATGAAAAACTGATGTCCTTATGCCGAAAAGGTTTACCTTTCAATGCTTTATGATGAAAATGAGATGATAAAAATAATTTTAGATAAAAAAATGAATTGTACGCAATTTGGACCACGCACGCCTATCCTTGAATTCTGTCCCTTGTAAGGATTTTCATGAACATTTTTGTTTTTTAGGACGGAAAAGTTTAACCATTAATGCTTTATGATCAAAATTGACCCATAATAGTAATTTTGATATAAAAATTAACCGAACCTCTTGGACGCAAATACGGAAAGTAAGCCTTTATTTGCAAGAATTTTTTTTTTTTTAAATACAGTTCCATAATAGTGAGTGGATATAACAATAAGGTATAATTTCTGTGTTCTATGGCAAAAATTAAGAAAAATTAAGTGTTAAGGCAACTCTATGTAGCGTATTTTATAGTCGGCTTAGCCCGATTTTTATGTTTTCACTTGTTCATCAATGGCAATTATCGTCTATGGGTAACACGATGAAAAGATAAACTTGGCGTAATAGCAAACTTTGCTTTCTTAGGGTGTACGAAATTCGTTTCAATTCAAAGACATCTTCTTTTATTTGTTTCATTATATTTTATGTAATGAGCGAAGTGTTTTTTTTTTTTCTCTCTCTCTTAGTCCTCTACATAATATGGAACTTTTAATTAATTTTCAAGTTCACATTAGCGTTCAGCAAGACATCTTTGGCTACAATGTATTGTCCGATTTAGATTGAGTTGATGCGATAATGAAAAGCAATAACAGGCAATTAATGATGTCGACAAATTTTGTTTGTCTATTTGTCGCAACTTGAGTAATGTATTAAGATTTAAATTGTGAGATACGAATTAACAAGAGTTTTTTTTTGTTTTTTTTATGCCTTCACGTATTTTTAGAGTAACAGCAAAACTATTAGATTACATTCGAATATGTTTACGTAGAAACTGGAAACTTGACAAAATAAAATACAAAAGATCTCGTCCTTATTAGATAAAATATTAACTATCCATTGGGGAAACAGGAATGTTGTAGAAAAATTCATAAAGAGGAAAAATGAAAGAAAAAAATTTTAAGAAATTCAAAATGCAAATCAACCTAAAGTTTTCATTATCGACTTAACTGGAGCGTAATTGTCAATTTTAAGTTGATAGGTCCTCGTCACCGAGCAACTTGGAACTTGGAGTAATGGGTTAATATTACTCGATAAGGCATAAATTTGGTTACATTTGCACAAACAACCATGTGAATAATCTCATCTTATTGTGTTCTCGTCACGTCCGACGAGTCCTAAATTTTTAGACGAAACAAGGCGATAGCAGGTAAAGCGATAAATGTTAATCTGCATAGGCTTTCAAGAAATGCTTTGCATTTCTAGTAGCCGTAGTAATGCACACAGGAATATATATATATTCTAATAGCCGTAGTGTTACACAGGAGGTTTGATATACTTTATGGACTCAACACTGTTTAGATTATCTAGTAGTCGTTTTTCGAAGAGACCTAAGGTTAAACCAGAATTGTTGCTGAGCAAAGGTAACATTGAGTCTAGCATTTTAAGCGAGGAAAATTAGGAAAGGCAAACGCATCAAAACAAAAGAGATTCGAATAATTGTAGCCGAAGCAATAAACTGTCGATTTAACCTCTAAGCAAAAGCAATAAACAGTTCAGATTCGCTTTCTTTTCTCAGAACAGACATTTCCACAGACAGACATATCAGTTGAATGGAAGTAATCGATTATCCTACTTATCCATATTTCGTATCTAAATTTCACAATTGATTGATTTGCCGTAAATCATTTCGCTAAATTCGAACGGAAAACGTTCTCCAAGAAAATCTCTGGGCAGCTTTAGTCGGGGGGTTTTTGCTGTAAATGACTCGGAAAGTTTTAGTCTCTTGTGATTACTTTTAAGAACGCGTCAGCGCCATTGCTTGAGTTGGACTGAAGCGATTGCAATTAGATATGACTAAGAGAAGTATCTAAAAGATTACCAAAATATTGCTACGAACGAGAGCGAATTGCTTGCGCACCGTACTGCCACTCGACCGCATTCACTCTGCCCTATCATTGCAATGACATTATCTTTACCAAATCAAATGATAAATACTTCTCGATATCATTTCATTTTGTTTTCATTGCGAGTGTAGATATAATAAAAACAAAAAACAAATATTATTTATTACCCAACAGCTGAACATCATTTCTCATCTAGTTATTGAAATCAATAAATTAACTAAAAAAAAAAAAATTATTTATTATAATGCATTTGTGTAAGTGATGGCATCGTCCTCTTAGCAGACCATCATTTTTCACAAAAACAAAAACATTGACCTAGTCTAGAAATTGTACGAACATACATACATACATACATACATACATACACAAGCTTACATATAATAATACCTTCAGACATGAAATGATAACCTTTTGGTAAATGCGGCGGCGTTGTTTTGTTAAAAGCCAGTAAAATTGATAAGAGCAACGGACGGAGTCTGACAAATGAAATCATCTGATGGAAATTACATTTAATACAGTTTCAAATGAACACTGCCAAGGAAAAGAAACAATAAAAACTTTTTACAAAAATGAGGAAATTTTTTCTATTTACCATCATACTACATATATATTTATATTTGATAGTAAAACAAGTACGTTTTGTTGTACGTTAAATGTTAAAAATGCCTTCAAGCAAATTTCCAAAGTTTTTATTTACTTTTTGGCTAATAGGTGTTAAGCATTAGCCTAGAGGAGGCGCATAACAGTGAAATATTACGCAAATGTTTTGAAGAAATTGATCAAAGTCAATACAACAGTTCAGAAGTACTGTTAGATAAATTCAAGAATTATGCTTATTGGTCGCATGAGGAGATACCGTGCTTTGCTCGTTGCATTGCCAGCGAGAAGGGTTGGTTTGATATCGACTTAAGTCGTTGGAATAAGCAAAGAATTGTCGATGAATTAGGCGCCAATATGTATAACTATTGTCGCTTCGAACTTAATCGAGCGTTCAAGAATGTCTGCTCATTCGCTTTTAAAGGCTTAAGATGCCTTAAACAGGTACTTTTTTTTTACGAATTTTTTTTTTTTTGAAAAATAATTCAAATTTAATTATAAAAAAAAATAAAAAAATTTACTTCTTCAAGGCCGAGATGAATGTTATCATCACTCATAATAATTTGTTGGAATGCGTGAAAGAGAAAAGCATTAGTATGGACCAACTATTGGAATATTATCATTTCCCCCAATTGGAGCATATACCCTGTCTTTTCAAATGCTTTGCCGACAAATCGCATCTTTATACAGTTGATCATGACTGGAATGTTTTGAATTGGTTAAAAGCTTTCGGACCGATACGTAACGAAAATGCCGACATATCGATATGCAGAGTTAATGCAAACGAAAGAGAAAAAATGGATATATGTGCCATTATGTATGAAGAGTATAATTGCTGGGAACGTTTAAATTACAATACTGATGGCATTTCTGTAACTTATAAGAAAGCATTAAAAAAAATCTTTAACTTTTAATTACAATTTTCATTTTCTGATTTGAACTGAGGCCCTGTGAATGTTTTATTTTCAAAGGAAATTTGGTTTTTGCCTTCGAACGATTTTCGCTAAAGGCGTATAAAGGGAATCTTTTGGTATAATATTTTATCTATATATGTGAACTTTTAATAAATCTTGATAGAAATATTTAGGGAATTTTCGTAATAAATTATTGTAAATAATGTTTTAAATCTTCAATTATTTTAATTTACTTACAGTTTTTAGCTGCTTTGACTGCACTGGTGAACGGTGGGAGCTCATCTTGAGCCTTGCTGGACCTTGCTCTACTCACTATCTCCCTGTTACAGTTCTGAAAAAAGAAGAAGAAAAATGGTGAAGATGCAGACAGTCAACCAAACTACTACTACTACTACTACTACCCCCCACGCAGATATATATATATATATATATACATATATATACATTTGCGTATATTTATAGGTATGTATGAACATTCATCAGTCACTAAGTTCGTAGGATGACATGCAGATGCAGGAAGGCTATTAGATGAGTCACAAAATTTACGAGACTATCAACCTTCAAACGAAAGATTTTAAAATTTCTTAACATGACCAAGATTCATACCATGTACAACTAATCTTCCTCACCAAGTAGTTAGGTACTCGGTAAGCCTAGTACACAATCAGTAAACTATAGAAAAGCTAAACATAACGCAGTGTGATGGGTGCCTGGCGTGAGATGGGTTAATTACTGCTCCTAGTACAATAAATCCAAGAGGGAGAGTAGTAGGTATGGCTTGCCCGGAAGTCTGGAAAATCCAAAGTGCAAGTATGAAGTTATGAAAGTAATGACACGCGCATGCCGAAAGCATTGTGGAATCCACGGGGGTCAGATAGCCCGCTGGCAATCTCACGAGTACCCAGCTTAGGTGGGTAGAGGTGATCGCATTGGTTAAACTGTGATTGGTGCTTGGCAAGATACTTCGAGGAGACGCTTGCATTATGACATATCATGTAGAAACTTTGGTTGAGGCTGGTATATGCAACCACAATAAACGCTGCAGGTTAATCAATGTGTGAGGCCTGACCGCTTGGGTGCGGTCCCACACGAAGTGTACTCGTGGTGGCTATGCTTACCTCCAAATTCGAAGACATTAAATAATTATAAATGTTTGTTAGGCCCCGGTCCAGAGGGGAAGGTTTGGACTATACCCGAACTTTCAATCTAGTACCTAGTGCTTTAAATACTCCCTCTCACCTGTAGGATTGTCTTGCAAGGCTGAGAGGTGCCCAATTCAAATGTATTAATTGCCAGTGGTTCTAGGGAACTGGTCAGGCTTCATGCCAGATGCAAACGTTAAACATCGAGATAATCTGTTCAAAACTCGTATGGATTCGTTAAAAGTGATGGCACCTGCGAACTGATTTGTCTAAATGATCAGGTACGGTTGAGGACGGTGTCTCTTATTGAAAACGACTATGCCACATATGGTGTGTAATCCAAGAAACAATTCAATTATGGTATCAATCAAATTAAATCACATGTAATGCCGAACATGGTCGTGGAAAATTTCACCAAAAATATACTTATGTCTCAGCAAAGCTTAGAAGGTGTTTTGTGCGATAATGGACTTATGAGTATGGTATGCTGATCCGCACTCTATCTTGCGTAGGTTACGAACTTGGGGCACCCTATATATATACCATCATTAAGACATATATACATTTATTATTTATTTATTTTTTTTTTAATATATGAATAAATAAATGAACACAATTAAGCAAATAAACAAATTATGTTATATTTATATATTAATATGCATGTAAATTTGTGAATAATGTGATAAACAAATTTTGGTTATAACATATTCATATGTTTATGCCCAAATAAAATAATAAATATTTCACATGCATACTAATATTCATTTAAACAATAAATGCATATATAGCATATGCATATCACCATAATATATGCAAAAGTAATGCTTTTGATCTAAAAATGATTATTTAGCAAGTTTCCAGTTATACACTCAATGACAACTATGCTCCATTTTTGAGTCAATTTATCTGTCTATCTGCCTCTCTCTCTCTCTCTCTCTCTCTCTCTCTCTTTTTTTCTTTATTTTTTGCAAAATTCTCGAATGCTAAATGCATTTCAATGGAAATTTCAGTGGAAAGAAACTTTTTTTTGAGTCCTATAAAGCCTATGAGCCTTTATGGGGAAAGTAATCCTTCGTATTTTCTGATGAAAATTACAACCGTATTCGGGGACAATCGAGTGACAAGAGGTTCGAAGCAATTAATTGAGTAGTGCTAGCCAATGTAACTCATTCAACGGACTTCATTTTCTTCCGCTGCCCTTGCACGAAACTCTTGTTGGCACTTTGGCTCGTACGGAAACGTGAAAAAACGTTTCTCAAGGAAAGGAAGAATAGTTTTACTGGACTTTCTGTGAACTGAGAAAAACTGTATACGTAATTAGAGATAGGGGATAATTTAAATAAACCACTTTTTGTCATTCTTCTTTTAATTTAATTCGTTTTTCATCTTTCTCTTCAAAACAAAAATAATCCGCATTCATATTTCTATAGATGGTCAATAGAGAGTTGACTTAATGAACTACCATTAAGGAATCCTTTTAAAGATAGGAAAACCTTTTTTTTGTTGGCAACATAATCCAGTTTTGGGTATTTGGGAAAGTCTTGTCTTTCATAATTTTGTAAAATTCCTAATTTTTAACACGTTCTTAATAGGATGAAATAGCACAGAGTATTTAAAGACACGGAATGTCATCCTTTTATTTAGTTTTTTTTTTTTTTACGTTAGACAAAGGCATAATGTTATCTTTGGCAAAAACCCTTGTCATATAGAATTCAATTGTTTCGAAAGATAAAAACTCTGTAAGCGTTTCGGACTTCTGCTAAGCAAGCGTAGCTTTATCAATCAATTGTTTTCTACGACATATAAGCCACGAAAATATGCATCAACTCACTTACTCAAGAGGTCAACCGAATGCCAGATATTTAAGATTTTGCAGAACACGGCCAACGTCTAGCCTTATCATTGTTAACACATTAAAGTCAGTGAATGCTGACGCTTCTTCTTTTTCTATTTTATAACGTCTCCGTTGTCTGCGTCTGCAAGTACAGGCTATGGATGTCTAAAAAAGTGATTTACTTTAACAGTTACGGTTTCAATACAAAAAGGCAGCCCTTGTACCCTGCGGGATTTGGACGTCTATTGAATTAGATTGATATCAGTTGATATCACTGAGAATATAATTTTATAAAAAAAAAAAAATCTCTACCACACGACCAGGATCGCTAATAGAAATTTCACGTCTTATCGCGTATAAATTGTCAAGTTTTTATTTCGCCTTAGTATGCAGTGATAGTTAAAATTTTGTTTGCTAAATAAAAAGAAACAATAAATTGAAAATAAATTCAATAAAAAGTGTGTTTTTTTTTTTATTTTATGAATTTGCACTGTGCAGCGACAATTTATGACACGAATCTTAATGCTTAACTATATAGTTTAACGTTTATGCGTAACGTAATCTTGACAATCGTTATGCATCAGGGGCACATTTATTTCAACGGAAGATGAATGACGCGTTAGTGAATTTTTATTAAGCGAAATACAACTACACTGTCTACGACTGTAGAAAATATAATGAAACGAATTCGAGCGGAAAATGAAAGTTTGATTTTTTTTTTTTTTTTTTTTCCTAATTTTTTATAAAATTTTATATAGTTTACCATGCAATAAAATTTTGGGTCTTCAACTATACAAGTTTCGCATAATTATCTCTCTCGCGAAAAGTATATTAAGTTTGTTACAATGCTTAGGAATATGGACTAGAGAGTCTTTGATATATTAATATATCTGTACATATATCTATGAAAGATAATTGGTGTCGTAAATAATGGAATTATTTATGGACTGTTTAAAGTGCCCGAGTTAAAATGGGTACGTACCGGAAAGGTATTCGTGGCTTTGAAGGAAGATTGCTCTTGAACTCTTTCATTCCACTTCGATCGAAAATGGCTTGAAAGTAAAAGAGAGATGCTTTCATTTTGTGGGGCGTATTTTAATGACGAGTAAATCTTTTTCTCTGTTTATATATACTTTCAATGTTGTGGGAATCTTTACACGGAAATGAATCAGTTGGGATTTTTTAATGCCTAAATTATCAACTTTTATATACTTTCTTCCTAAAAGATATTGTATAAGTATCTCAATCTTATCTCCGAATCCAATAGAGATGAGTAAGCAAGTTGAGTTTCGGTGCAATCATGAACAAGAACGGATCAAGAGAGAAATTTTCCAACACTATCAGAAGTGGAATACGAAACTCAAGTTTTAAATAAATTTTTTTGTAGGATTCCAACTAAGACTATATTTTTCATAATCCAATAACTCACGATCCCTGATCGTGTAGATATCATTAAAAAATTTCACCAAATTGGAAATTCAGTTGTGGGCAATTTGGTCGCCGTTGTTATTTGTCTACTCAGATTTCGTCAATACTCAAAATGGTCGCTATTGGAGAAAGAAGAACCCACAAGTATTTACTCTAAGAAGAAGAACTCTGAACTCCCCCGTAGGGGCTACATCCAATGGGTCTTTGCTGACAAGCTACAAACTTTGAAACATTCGGAGGCGAAGATTCGTCAAGCTATAGTAGACATAATTTAAAGCCAGTGTGTAAAGTCAGTGTGTTCAAAATTTTACCGGATATTTCAAAGCAGAATTTATTTTGATATATTGAGTTGTTTTCCATTTTCCTTTATTTCCTTTAATTCGTCCAAACATCTCACTGTACTTCCCTTTGCTTTTCTACTTTTTTTTTCTAAAATTAATTACTTACTCACGTAGTTTGATAAAGGTCGCGAGGTATCAGGTAAGTCAACAATCTCTCGGTATTTTTTTCATAACAACACTTTGAGCAAAAACTAATGCTTATGCCATGACAGAACGTTTACACTAAAATATTAATGACAAGCGGAGGAGAACAAACATATGTTAAATAATTATTCAAATATTCGATCCTAACTGAATATTATTTCTTTCTTGTTGACTTGAAAAGTGTACAAAATCACTGTTTACTGGAATATTTTAATGAGATCAAACACCTATAATAAGAAATTAATAAACCGCGGAAGTTTCTCAGCTCAGTTAAACTTTGAAAAGCATAAAATATGAAAATATTTCCTTGAATATAATATATAATAATAATGATAATAATAATAATGCTGTTGTGAAGAAAAAACAAATAAAAAATAATAATAACAAAAATAAAAAATAACAAAAGATACATACGTCTATGCTATATTTATGAATAATAAAAATGTTTAATAAAACACTAATAATATTAACAGAGAATATGTTAAAGATATTTACTGAAATATGTAAAGATAATTTTCACACTTTAACTTTAGTTTAACGTAGATAATTACTTATATGCCACTGTTCCCTATGCGTTCAGTATGACATTAAAACAATAATTATGCAACTTTTCAACCGGTATCAATATTTGTTTTTTTTTTCTTCTTCGTCTTCTTTTTCTTCTTTTTCTTTTTTTTCTTTTTCTTCTTTTTCTTCTCTCTCTTATATTTATATATATATATATTTTTTTTTTTTTCAGTCAACTTTGATCTGAGAAACCAGTTTGGTACTGTGAAAATAGCAGAAAACTTTATATCGCAATACTTAACCAGCCATGGAACGCAGTCTTTCGTAAACCTTCAAGATCTCTACATCTTGTTTAGATAATAATAATAATAATAATAATATCTAAATATAACATACAACGTACGTACAAAGCATATCTCAAGAGAAATGAAACTATTTTTAATAATTTTATCTACTACTGTAGCTTTGGTAAGTTCAAAAGCGATACTATTACTACTACTACTACTACTACTACTACTACTAAGGCTACGAATACAAGAGTGTTTTAAACTATTTCAGGTAAATGCCAAATTTGATATTCGCACTAAAGACGATGCTTTGAAGGCTCATGAAGAATGCCACAAAGAGTTTAATGTACCAGATGATATATATGAACAATATTTGGATTATCAATTTCCCGAGCATAAACTCACCAACTGCTATGTAAAATGTTGGATCGAAAAAATGGGTATTTTTACCGAAAATCGAGGTTTTAACGAAAAGAATATTATCGCTCAGTATACGTTTGAAAATTACAAAAATTTGGAATCTGTACGACATGGCCTTGAGAAATGTATCGATCACAACGAATGGGAAACAGATGTCTGCACCTGGGCTAATCGAGTATTCTCGTGCTGGCTTAAAGTTAATCGTCACGTTGTGCGTAAAATGTTCAATTAGTTTTGATGAAAAGAAGAGTTTCGTAAATAAAATCATGGGCAATATTTGATAATTTATCAAAATATTGTTACATACATACATACATTAATGTTAATTTCTTTTTCCATTTTTTCAATAAATTTTACTATAAGGGAGTGTTAGTTAGTTAAGAGCCGATAGATATACTTTCCCGTTTCGTTTCTTAACGATTACATAAATACTTTAAATGATATTACGTGGATTTCACGTTCGCGGTGAAAAGAATCTTCGATACGCTTCGCCTTGTACGCATTGTATGTATGGCAAGCACATTCGACTCTGACCGAATTGTTTTTAGCAAACTCCGTTCGTTTTAGAAAAAAGTAAAGAAACAAAAAAAAAATAAATTTCATATTCTCGAACATTGAATGGGCGTGGTTGATTATTTAAATTTTCTAGAGAAAATATGTATCGCGTGTCCATTGTGGTTTATGAGCAAGGAGCAACAAGTTCAGTTTACGTTGAACTATAGATGTCGCCCTTTGACACATTTGGACCATTTTTAGGGCATATTAAGCTAGTGCGGACATATGTAACACGCAGAAGGGCTGAAGATAGGCCCATCTGTTATTAAACCGATCGATTCAGAACGATAATCTGATCTAAGCCCGTCTGTCCATCCGTCTGTCCATAAAAATTTGTGTTCAAGCTACAGATCGTAAATTTTTGAGTTATTTCGATGAAATTTGGTGCAGTGACGTTTTTTGACCCAAGGATGAACGCTATTGAAAATGGTTCGTAACGGCTCAAATCCTTTTTAATCTTCTTTTATTTCGAACTACTGCCCTAATTCCGGTAGCTACGAAAAATTGATTTTGATGATTACGATTTGTATCACCAGGTGTTGATAAAAATCCAACCTCATGAATTAGAAATTAATGCTTCCCTCTAGCCAAGCGGTAATCATGTTAAAGTCAGTCTTATTATTAAAAATTTTATTGTTTTTTGATTGGCAATGGAGAAGAGTGCGGAAATTTGCCATAAGAGGTCTGTGGTCGGAGCTAAGATCGTTGCAATTAGCTATATAGAGGAGATGATGGGGCTATGTTTTATAAATCTATCGGCCCATATGTAGGGTGTCTGTGGATAGAACGGAATAGTTGTTGTTATTTATACGCTTATACAGTTCTCTGCCTTTGCGATTAGTTCGTTTTGAACCTCACCATTGATGCTTGTCCAACAATAATTCTTGGTGCCAGGCTAATGAAAAAGTTTTGATATTTTACCGAAAATCGCGATGGAAAATATGTAAAGCATAAATAATTGTAATGCTCGCAGCTTGGAGGGAATTGCGTGTTTAATATTGCCGTACAGGCATGCGTTCTATTGTTCGGCTGATTAGTGTTTGGAAAGATCGTAAAAAAATGATCTTGTAGTAATAAAATGAGTATCCAATGCTAGAAGGATATCAATAAAATAAGTTTGAAGAAATAAATCAATTTGTTGGATGTGATTGGAAAGTCCATTGGCCTTCTATGCAGACATTGTACTTATAAGTTCATTTTGGTCACTTCTATTTGATACCCTATCAACTCCTCCATCTTTTCAAATGGAGTGTTTAACACGTTCCGCTCTGTATGCCGTAGAATATCGGAATGTGACAGAGAGAATTTGGTTTAAATTTGGTCAAATTTGGTTCTGGCGTGTAAAGGTAATCCTCGTTATTAAAAATGAATTGTTTCCATAGATAAAATGAATGGGATGCTAAAAAAAATTATATTTCCTTCACAAAACACAAAACTGCTTACGGAAAATATCCCAAACGTCAAAATACTGCAGAAATTATTTTATAGTTGTTTGGGAGCAATCTAAATACATAACAAATATTTGAGCATAATGTGATATCATAATAATTATGATAATATAAATTAATTATAAATAGTTTGATGTAGCATTCTATGACTCTATAATATGATATATGCACCACGTAATGTAATCATGATTTAATGACTGACATATTCAAATGATAACATACGAACGCATTTGCAATAGTGTGTAGAAAATTGCGTTGTGACCGACAATATAGAATAGACAGCATCCATATGCAAATTTTCACGGTTTGACTGATAAGAAGCCATTACGCAAAATAAACTTTTAAGAAATCTTCAATCATGTTTTCGTTTTGTATATATATGTGAGATATATACTTTTACGGCTATTATCAGAAGAAATACGCTTCAAAGAATCTATAGCGAATCTTGTATATGTGTTTTAAGTAGTTTTTCGCAAAGCTTGGATTTGAAAAATTCATAATAATAGTATAATAAGCATGTCCATCTGTCCGTTTGGCTGCAGTCGAATGCTCTACCACTGAGCTATATCCCCCCGGGGATTTTCTTCCCCCCCGGGGGGTGATCATTCGACTTAAATGAGTGCCTATGGTTGTAGGCAACCCGTCTGATTAAGGCATCACGCCAGGTGCAGACGTTAAACCCCAAGAGACATTTGTCCATTTGGCTATCTGTCCGTTTGTTGTAAACATTCCCCTGAGCGTAAAAGTCAAGCTATCGACTTTAAATCTGGTAGAAATATTGCAAGTTCTTGTAAACAGGCTAACGGGCTAAATCAGTTGAAGGGCATACTTGCAGTACTACGTACATTGAGAACACCTCTGCTTTTTAAAAAAGTAATAAAAAATTAGTGCTTTGTCCATAATTTGCTCATAAATTGCACGTAAGTATATTCTGTAAGTACCTTTATAAAAATGAAAAAGATCGACCACGCCTACTCAACTTTGTAATGTACCATAGTTTCGTATTTTTTCCAAAACCCTTCATAAGTCCGTTTCAAATTCGGAATGTCCTAAGCATGTTCATACGCTCATCTGTCCATCTGTCCGTCCGAGCAGTAGCGCCTGCAGTAAGTGTTCTTCCATTTGTAAAAATGAAGATATCGCCTACAAATTTGCAAAAGAATTTGAAAATTACCTAAGCTTTTCAAAGGGCATGTCTACAAAAGTCACACGTGTAGGTTCTTTCCTTATTATTCGAAGTGTCTAGTTAGTGACGTAAGTTATTTACTAAAAAAAAGGTCCAATCATCACGGCAATGGATATTAGGATTTTCATTGGGATGAGGAATGTACATCGCCTGGAATATTCGCTGAGGCTTGCCTTGGCACCATTTAATTGAAAGGTAAATTTTCACAACGAAAGAAAAATTCCATTCCTCACAGCCGTAAAAGCGAAGTGACTTGAAAATATCGCTTGAACTTTGAAGAAAAATGAAGGAAAAGAAACGATGACAGAATATATGAGATCATGAGGAAGTTTATGAAGTAAAATGTGATGTTTTAAAAAAGGAATGGATTGATATATGTATACAGGTTAGTGCTGAATTAAATGAAATAAACAATTGTTGCGTTTTAAGTGATTATATGAGAAAGACTGATTCTATAGTTCACATACGGTTTCTTTCTACCCTGGAATGTTTTGGTTCTTGCAAAGCACAGTTGGGCGAGATCACCAGCTGATACATGGCACCGAGCAAAAAAAAAAAACATATGCTTTATAGCGAATATGAAGCCTCCTTCTAGATGTTAGAAACGTTTGGATTATGTGAATGTACCCTCCTCCTTATAGAATGAGTTCAAAAAAAAAAAAGGAAAAAAAAAAACTTGAAATCGTTAAGCGCTTTTAAACAAACACCATTAACGATATTAAAGTATCCCTTGTAAACAATTGTATCACGGCCTCTTAAAAATCATTTCATTTAACTCGAACTAGAAACGAAAAGTGTGCTAACTAAATATAGAGGAGTCAGTCACTGCCAAGAAAATTTTAAGTAAATCATAAGGTTTAGGGCGCAATACTCGCGAACTAAGCCTGATGGAAATAAAATTCAAATCCATTACTGAAAATTAATTTAAAATAAATATTTGGATTAAGAAATTAATTGAAATGTAAATCATATTTTCGATCACATGTCTTCCTTTAAGAAAAAATTCGATTTCAAAAAAAATAAATTCACTTAAAGGCGTATACTTGATTTTCAATTCGTCGTCGTATACGTAACATAAAATTTTGTTTTATTTTTGCAATAAAATCCATCCTCTCTCGCTATGCAGAGAAATGATATATAAAATGAGAGAACAATTTACACACTCTTCAATACTAATTAAATGATGACATTTTCACGCATGCATGCATGCATGCACGCATACATCATAATATTAGCTCTTTCAAAACTTTTCCATATTGATTGTAACGATATGATGCACATATAAAAATGTTATAAATCGGTATTAATTAAATACTGTATGGTACTGTGTGCGCCATATATAATATTTTGTCATAGGAAAGACTATAAAGAAAAAAAAAATATATGTATATATATATATATATATATTCAATTTATCGATAATTTTAATCTGAGCTCTCATCAATTTTTGCAAATTAAATTAATAGTTCATAATTTTTGCCAAAGAGTGATTTTAATTGTAGCCTAACGTGGCATTACACAACACATCAGGGCAGGATAAGAGAGTGAGCACAACATGTTTAACGGTATTTGCCATCTGCCAATCAGAGAGTGCATATTGGGAAACGCAAATTAGCATAGGTTTAAGTAGGTTTTTGTGACCGAGAATATATTGAATTTGACATCAATTTTCAATTAGATTCTTATCATATAACAATAAAATCAATTGAAAACGCGCCATAATTTTGTTTATATGGAAAAAGCGAATCATGTTCAAATTACATGGTAACAATATAGGAAACCAAATGAATTAATCTATGCGATTAATAAAAAAATACTCTAAACTGGAAATCGCTTACATTTGCAATAAACTTTTGCTCCCTAAAGCTTGGAATACGGCAATCTATGATTGAGGCGTAGGGAGAGAGGCATTGTTTTACAATTACATCCTTTTTTTTTTTTTATATAACCCTCACCCAAGGATGAGGGGTATATTTATTTCGTTAAAACGTTTGCAAGGCCCAGATAGAAGCATCAGAGACCCCACATAGCGTATATATTCTTGATCAATATCAAATTTAAATCGATTTAAGCATGTCCGCCTGTGCTAGGTCTGGGTAATGTCTGTTGGCCGCAAAAATG